CGAGAAATGATATGAAGATGTGAATAAGAAATGCTTGCGGCAATATTCCACGTAATGTATTAATGTCATTGAAAGATCATTTTCGCAAAAGAGTAAAACTACATATGTCATGAGGTTAACAGTGCCAATGTTGAGCACCTATTAAACTATTACAAAGTCCTTTTTCTGTAACGTCTCTTTGTAATATCTCCTTAAATAAAGAGTTTAGACCAAATTACAAAGTTCTTTTTCTACAGAAAAGTTACGTCTCCTTGTAATATCTCCTTAAATAAAGAGTTTAGACCAAAAGTACTTTTTTACGTAAAATTAAACGCTCTATCTAATTTTGTAATAAAACATACATTCCGTTTAAAAAAATTAAGTGGATCTTTAAATGACCTTAAAAAACACCATATAAGGGCAATTCGAGGTCATCATGTTGTCCCCCTCGAAACCCTACAATTTTTGTCTAATTGTGAAACATTTTTCTCTCAAACCTCGCGATTTCCAAATATTTGACTGTCAAATATAAAATGGGACACTCTGTATATATATATATAAAGTATATATATATATATAGGGTAACTCCGGTATATACGCTGCACCTATTAAAAACTTAATTTATCGGGTATTATTAATTATGTTTAAGGTAAATGAACTATACCAATAAAAACTTTAGACTGTCTACTACAATGAAAAAAATATTAGGAATCCAGAATATTTATTTTTTATATTAAACAAAAAATTTCTTTAAACTCTTGCAGTTTTGCTTTATAAAAATAGAGTGTTATACGGCTATTCATTAGTGGGATAAATGACTCGAACGGGTACTCATGAGTGGAATAAATGATTCGAAAAATATACAAATAATCTAAATAATAATAATGAATCTCTCGTAAAAAAGAACTAGTGCAATGATAACACTACTGAAATGTAGTAGTGGCTTCACTGGTGACACTACTACATTTCAGTAATGTTTTTACTGCATTAATAGTTCTTTTTTACTACGGATAACATGTGAATTGACAACGTAAATTACATTTACTCATTAATACATAAATAAAAAACATCCGGTAAAAAATTTTTTATACAAAAACATATATAAATATATATAACATATATAAAAATATATAATTATATATTATTATATGCAAAATATTGTCCATATATATCTATATATGTTTCTTTCCTTTGTAAAATTATTCTTTAATATAAAAATATGATAATATTAAGAAAAAAACATAAAAAATAATTAAAAGGATAATTTTTACATTGTTTTTTTTACAAAAATCAAGTTTGAAGAAATAAGAAAAATTGCTCATATATCAAGCGCTGCGGTAGCGGCGCGAC